CGCCTGAATTTTTTTTTTTTTTTTCATCTCTTCCAAAATTTTTAATTTCTGCTGATAAAGGACCGGATCGATTAATAGAGTTTATAATATATGTAGATCAGGTTTATTTCATAATATTTCAAGAATTTGTTTGTTGTATTCGCGGCTTTGCATGTTTTTGAGGAATTGTGCGATTTTGATATTAATCGATCGGGCTTTGTTTATCTGTACCTGTTGGTATATCTATTTTGGGTATCATACTAAGGATCCAGAGGGAGACATGAACGGGATCTATACAAAGGTGAATTGTATTTATTTATTATTTTTGTTTGTTTTTTTCGATCGTTTACCTTTGGTTCTAAAATTTCAACTATCCAAATGATTTTTATCGCTTGGTTTGATATTATATTTGTCAAATTTGTATTTTTTTTAATATGTGGTTCAATCAATTTTATTTTAAAAATATTTGTTTTTAAAGAATAATAACATTAAAAAAAAATAAGTTCGTGATAATAGTTATCAATTATTGGGTTTAGTCATGTTTATTTTACTGATATGTTTTCACAAGGGGATTAAAATAAAATTTCAGCTCGATATTCACTTTTTTGTTTTTCTCAGTATGGATTCAATATATTGACATTAAAGGCCAAACAGAGTGAAATAGTCATAAAAAGATAGAATGTTTTTTCTTTAATTTGACGTTTATTTGTTGATTAAGTCTAACATTTGGTAAATGTTTGCTTACTCGTTACAATTTTGAAAAACACTGGCAATTACCTGTAATCTAATCATCTTTTGTTTGCATGTGATGAAATGACATGATTGCGAGAATGTTGTGTTAACAACTACCATTCAGAAGCCTTCAAATTCAGATATACAACAATAGCTATACAACCAAAGGTGTTCAATTTATTATGTACTTCAAATAAACATATTATGTTACAGTTACAATTATGTTTAAGTTTTTTCAAATGTTTCAAATGTTGTATTACAGGATATATATGAATGGAAGCAGAAACAAAGAGTGAAGTGTCATTACTAACACAAGCAAGGTACTAATGTTATCATGACTACTGATTTGAAAATTGTGATTTATGAAATGATTATAAAAAAATTTATGCTTGGTTTGTACAGAATGCTTGGTTGTACATAATGCATGTACTGGGAAATTTGGAGCATGAGTAAACATACATGGGCAAAGAGGCAAATCAAATAACTCATAAAAAAAAATGTGCAATCAGGTATGTTTCTATATATGTATACAAATATTTAACGAAATAAATCACTAATCTATGTATATTAAAAATATATCCTTGCCATTTGTAAGATTCATTGACTGTTTTGCTTCTCTTCGTAAATACTTGATCTGCTGCACTCTTGTTTCTGTCAGAATCTGAAAAAAAAAAAAATCGATGTTATAACTCATATGAATCATCATACAAGTTAAATGAAACTTCCAATATTCTGCATACACATATATTAAAAATTAAATTTCCTAATTTTACAGAAGATGTATATTGAAGATTGTACTATTACCTGGGGATCTGTTTTCATCATGATATTTGTTGATACGTTTATTGCCTGCTATTGTTGTTGCAAATGGATATCTAAATTCATCCGAAGCCATTGAATGTTGTATGATATGACTGCGAGAAAACAAAAGACAATAGTGATTATAGATAATAGTTCAATAGCGGAATAAGTTAATGGTACTGAGGAGAATGAATTTTGAAAAATACATTACCGTAATAAGTGATTGGATTTTTCTTTCACAACTATCTATTTTATATAAACAACGATATATGTGTATAAAGGATAGCTATGACCCTATCGAATATAGGAAACTAAAGATACGCTCATGATAAAAATCTAACAAAGAAAAGTGTTGAAATAAACCACAAGTAAGAGGTTATATAGTTCCGCACTTCAACAGATCTGTAAAGGATATTTAGTTCCCCATTTCAATAGGTGTCTAAATAATAGGGAAGATGGTGATTGAATAGATACGATTTGGATCCTTGCATATCTGATTTATAAACATTAAATATACAAAATAGATATTGACATATAAATCAATATCGATTTGTTTCTTGACATATCTCCTACATATTTATGTGTAAAATAGATGTTTATTTGTAATTCCATATCAGTTAAATATTCCTGCGGTATATATATATATATATATATATATATATATATATATATAATGCCACATGTTTTAATCTATTAGATATATAATAATGTATTATATAATATATTTTTCTTTCCATAACAACAGATATCTATATAGATGTATAGATATGTAAAAGCAAACTTGTTAACGATTTCCCTATGAATAGTATAAATATATATTTATTTAACTGAGATGAGACGTTTTCAATATATTTAACTGACATTTAAAGTTTGAATATTTGATTCTGTTGTTGACATGGACATTTCATTAGTTTCAAAGAACAAATTGTAGATTAATATTGCCACTTTCAAAGGAGTGGTAACTTCATCAGCATCATCCTAAAAAAAAAATTAAATTCATAAACGAATATATGAACGTTATTTACAACAAAACAAATAATAAAATAAAACCCATTACCTCTTTATTGTCTTCTTGTTCCCTCATGAACAAAGTCATAAAGTCAGATTCCTAAAATAAATTAGAGAATAATAATTAATTATATAATTATTTGACAATAGAATAAGACAAATAAATAAGTGATTAAATAATTCATACAGTATGCTCAACAACCCACTGGTTGTAGTTGGAGATCAACTTATCATCATCAACCAATCTAACAATAGAAAATGAAGTGTATAATAATCGGATAAACTTATCATCATCAACCAATCTAACAATAGATAATTTCAACTAATATTTAATAATGTCAACTAATATTTAATAATCGATTTATATGTAAATAATCGAATTTTGATTTAATAATGCTTATATTTATATTTGGAAGTTATAACCATATGTGAAAAATTAAATTCTCCTAATATTTAATACTCGGAATAATTGTTATCATATTATTCAATTTAGATCATTATATGAAATGAAGTCATTAGTCTAACTAAAATTTTTTAATAATGGAAATAAAGAATTAAAATCGATTTCTAAATAATCTGATTTTGATTTATTAATGGTTATACTTATATTAGAAAGAAGTTATGGTGATATGTTATGTAATAAATTTAAAATTTTAATAGTGGAATGACAGTTATCTCATAATTTAAATGTAAATCTCATAATTTAAATTACATGATCAGTTGGATAGAAATGTAACGATAATTAAATTTGGTAATTGAATTTAAATAATAAAATTTAAATCAAACATTTAAATCAAACGCATGTATAAATAGAAAATTTAAATGACAAAATATTGGTAACGATAATTAAATTTGGTAATTGAATTTAAATAATAAAATTTGAATCAATCGCATTAATAAATAGAAAACATAAATAGACTAACCAAATGTCTTAGATATTGCCAACCACTACTAAAATATTTGTAAAATTGAAAACGCAATATTTTTTCCTAACATCCTCTTTATTAAGCTTCATATCACAACAACCGATATATTGTTCGAGTGGCAACCATCTCTATCCTTGCTAGTAATGAGGAAAATTACCATTGCATTTGATAAAATTTGTCCTTTCATGAAGGACAATCTTTCAATGATAGATAAGAATATTGTTCCTCCCTCTATTATATTCAACATCGTAGTTGCGAATAAAATACACGTCGCCTTGTTTAAGGCGGTCTCGAAATACGATCATATGTTGC